GACTTTACTGACCAGTCTTCTAAACAGTCCAGAGTCTGCCCTCCAGAAGCCCAAGGTGGCTGTTCTACTGACCCCCTCCTTGCTTCACCAGGGATCAAAAATTCAGTCATTTCGTGATCACTGTGTCCCAGGCATCCTCCAACCATCACATCTCCCACAAGGCCTTCTTTGTTTGCAGTCAACAGGTCCAGCAGGGCACCTTCCCTAGTTGGTTCACTCACGAGGTGTGTCGGGAATTTGTCTTCCACGCACTCCAGGAACCTCCTAGACTGTTTCCTTTCTCCTATATTATACTTCCAGCAGACATCTGTTAAACTGAAGTCCCCCACAAGAACCAGGGCTAGCGATCATGAGACTTCTCCCAGCTGCCTGTAGAATATCTCATCTCTCTCTTCATCCTGGCTGGGCGGTCTACAACAGACTCCCACCATGACATCTGTCTTCCTGGACATTCTGCTGATTTTTACACATAGACACTCAACCCTATCATCACCATCATTGAACTCAATGCAATCAAAACACTCTCTAATGTAGAGGACTACCCTGCCTGAAGAGTTTATAGCCAGCCATGGCAGCACTCCAGTTATGCGAGTTGTCCCACCATGTTTCTGTGATGGCAATAATATCATAGTTTTATTGGTGCACAGTGGCTTCTAATTCCTCTTGTTTGCCCATGCTGTGTGCATTGGTGTAGATGCACTTCAGTTGGGCTACTGATCCCCCCACTTTTTGGAGGGGGATAGTCTTAGTTCCTAAGTGAGTACTTGCTATTGTTTCTAACCCATCAATAACCTTTGTATCTCTTCTGCCACTTGGAGTAATATTCTCCACTTCCCCTGAGGCTGCAGACCGGAGAGCCTCACTAACACTCTGTTCCATAAGTATGGAAACAATTAGTTGTGAAGTGATAAATAGCAACTTAAGCACAACACCAGTTTAGTATTTGGGTTTGCTTTGTTTTTAATATTGAGTATTTCTTCTACTCCCCTTGTTTTGGGTTAGCTGCAATTCTGGTCAAAATATTTCCAAATACTGAAATGTCTTATACAAACAGGGCTTTTCTGCACATGCAAATGAAATTTATCTGGTTTTATCTGCCAGTCCTGATAACCAAAATAATGAATTCTTATGTTTTTCTTTCCCAACATAAAGCAATGTTTTTTTCCATAGTTTAGTAAAGAAAAATAAAATCTCTTTTTGTCTGCATAGCGCTGAGATTATGATGTTTTCCTTGGGTTTCCTCTTAAAAACACATAGTTAGAGATTGACAGTCTTTTAGCCCCAAGAAGCAGAGCAGCAATAGTAAATTACAGACTATAAATCAACAGATCACTTTTTTCAAATTTAAGACCTTGAACAAGTACATTCCCTTTGATGTGCTTGAAGTTAAGCAGACATTTCAGTACACTGCTTATGTCAAAAGCATGAATGTGCTGTGTCAGTATATGCATAGGGGCTGCATTGCTGGTGCGGCTTTATCCCAGCTGTATTTATTTAAGGAGGAGATTTCAGATCAGTGGTGTGCCATCATTTCAATAATGGTTTGGGGTTTTTTTTAAAGATTTAATATTTTAAAATTAAAGCTTTATAGTAAATGAAATCTTTACAGTACCACTGTTACAATTGATGTAAATGACATAGAAGAATTTTCAGGAGATGTTTTCCTTTCATTCTGTAACTGCTGGAAATATGCTCATGGTAATAGACAGTGTGGCTTTCTTGCATTGCAGCAGTGCCAGGAGTCAAGCCCCGATCGAATCACACTGTATGGTTTAATGATGAAACCTATCCAGCGCTTTCCACAGTTCATTCTACTGTTGCAGGTAAATAATGTTTACCAAAGGGTTGCTCTTGTTGCATTCTTATGTAGTTTGCCTGTGGGATTGCATCGTAGCTGTCTTCTGCTGGAGGAGAACACTGCAGTGGAAGTGACCACTGAATCATGGGGAAATAAAGACAAAATTTAATGCATCATAACGTGCTGATCTCATATTCTGACTGTAGGGACAGGAAGTAAACACACTGCAGGGAAATCTTAGTGAACTAGATTTACTCTAGATTACTTGCTAGCTTAGATTTAGCTTGTAAATCACTTTGCAGTAAAGCTGTAGTTCAAATGTGCTACTTGTTCGTAACAGTTTGTTAGCTAGTAACACTTCAAAACACCACTAGGAACTTTGTGACATTACTTTCCACTTAAGAAAAATACAAGAGGATGTAATTCATGCCTTGGATAGTTCAGAATATTTGTGGAATGTGGTACACGTCCTCCGGTCTCTTCTTAACAGGGAGTCGAGCTGTAGGAAGAGCACAGTCCCCAGTACAGCCCTGCTCCAGACCAACTTACGCTTTGTAATTCCTTCCAGACCGCAGCAGGTCTGTCCCAGGGAGCGCTACGAGTTAGCTGTGTTCTGCAGGTGCCACAGAGGAGGACCTGCTTTGGGATGCAGGCTCTGGAATTACTGTGGGAGAGCATCCGGGTAGCTAGTCATGGCAAGATGTTTTGAGTTAGCAGAACAAATGGCGTGTGTTGTGGCCTGAAGCCGTAGTGAATACATAAGAATTTTTAAGCGCTATGGGAAAGAAGCAAAAATTTAATTCAAATTGTTCCACTGCACGCCTGCAAAAGGGAAGGATTTTTAGAAGCTCTTGTAACCTCATGAAGTAATGTCTCCTACTGTGAGGTGTGTGCTGTCAGTATTTTAGTGAGGAATAACACTAATAAAGGTAATACAGTATTATTATGATAGTAAATACCAAAAAGTTTTATTTTAAATCATTTTTTACAGACACCTATGTATTATATTATAATATTGTCAAATTACATGCGTTTTTTAATTCGCTTTTACATTTGCATTATTTACACTTATTTTCAAGTTCGTTCGCTGTACTTTCTTTCTGTAAATAAGCAGTATGTGACCCTGTTCAGTATTTTTTTTTAAGAACTATTAAGGTATTTAGGAAAATAAGCAACATGCTGTCTGAATATTCATTAGGTGTTCTTTGGTATTGTTGTTTAGTAGTAGTTGGGTAAAGAATGTAGCAGTGACATTACATCCTGTAATCTTTTGAACTTGACATTGAAATTAAATCTGATTTTAAAAATTTTTTGTTTGTTTGTTTTATCACTTTCCCTCAGGATATGTTGAAGAACACTAATAAAGGACATCCTGACAGATTACCTCTTCAGATGGCTCTTACAGAACTTGAAACTCTGGCGGAGAAGTTAAATGAAAGGAAAAAGGATGCAGATCAGCGTTGTGAAATAAAACAGATAGCAAAAGCAATGAATGAACGTTATCTGAACAAGGTTAGGAAGTATCACAGAATCACAGAATGTTGGGGATTGGAAGGGACCTCGAAAGATCATCCAGTCCAATCCCCCTGCCGGAGCAGGAACCTAAACAATTTTACACAGGAAGGCGTCCAGGCGGGTCTTGAATGTCTCCAGAGAAGGAGACTCCACAACCTCCCTGGGCAGCCTGTTCCAGTGCTCTGTCACCCTCACTGTAAAGTAGTTTTTTCTCAAGTTTAAGCGGAACCTCCTGTGTTCCAGCTCACACCCATTGCCCCTTGTCCTATGTTGGGCATCACTGAGAAGAGCCTGGCTCCATCCTCATGACATTTGCCCTTAACATATTTGTAAACATTAATTAGGTCTCCCCTCAGTAAAGTAATAACATGTGATGGAAGAGTTAGTATATTATTAGTGTCTGGGCCTTGAGAAATCTTTAGAACAGACACCAAAGAGATGCCTGAGGATTTTCTGTAGTGTGCAACAATGTGGGGTCATTCTAGTTGTAGGTGTGAGATGTGAGCTACCTCCGGGACTGAATAGACTCACTGGTTAAATCAGTGTGTGCTGGAGTGGGTGACATGCTGGAATAGCAGCAGCAGTATGAGTGTTCTTTGGCACTGTATAGATAAAGCTGTTTCCTCATCCTGTAGTACAGTCTCATGCACATCTTCTGAAAAATTCTAAATTGAATTTTGAATTTATCCTAGAACTGAGGAATTGCTCCTGTATAAAGGAAGGAACCAGTTCCTTATACTGCAGTGCTTCTGACTATTGGAGCAGTTGAAGATATGCTATTGAATGTGTCCAACATCTTCCTTGTTTTAAGGAACGTCCCAGTCTATTTCATTCACGTATTTGGATTATTCAATAGAAATGTCTTTTTAAACCTGTAGAAGACATTCAGTAGGAAGGAAGTAACAACCTTATTCGAGTTTGCGAGTAGCTATCTGTACTGTTGATATATGTATGCTTGTCTTATTTACATCATATACGTTTCCTCCTTTCCCATGAGATAGAGCATGCATACTTTAATTATTGTTTCCATGAAGTTACAGGTGGTTATACTGTACTCATTCTGAGATGGATTAATGGGGACATGCTGAAGGAGTGCAAGGAGTATTTTTGTTCGTGATGCATAAAAACATAGTTTTCAGGAAAGAAAGTAGTCAACCAGAACACACTTGTTTTAGGCTATTTATATAAAAAAAAATGGGATACTGAATTTATCGTCATGCTGGAACAGTATTTCCATTTTAAGATGGATTCAGGCTTTTTACTTTCTAGTTTTCATATTCCTGCTTCTTGAAGCAGCTACTAATCATCTAGAAATAGTTGAAGGAGCTCCAGACACAAAATGTGCTTTTTAAGAGGTAGTGCAGGTTTCCTTTTGCCAGTCTATATAAACTGTAAAATCTTGTATGTTCTGCACCAGCGGGACAAATTGAGATATTCCTGGATAGTCACTCCAAATCATGTAGGGCCTTGTGTGCCTTGTGGCTTAATAGTTTTGGAATGATGCCAGGCATGGTGAAACAGGCGGTGAAGGAGGTGGTTGGATAGGAAACAGGTGAGTTACAGACCGTTTTGTTCTCTTGGCCACTACGGAGGTGTATTTGACCTGTGCGGAGTCAGTTCATGCTTGCACATGGTGCTGATCCTCAGCCCTTGAAAGCAAATGGCAGGAGCAATTTACATGCCATTTACTTTTGTACATGTTACCTTCTTGGCAGTCTGTGGCAACCTGCCAGCCGTGCTCCTCAGCTAGCCCTGTAGCCCAGGTGGACAGAGCAGGCGGGAGCACTCCTCCTCCCAGCCTGACCTCCTGCTTTGGGACAGCTGGCACCATGCCTACCACTGAAATGGAAGTGCTTCCACTCTGTGGAAGAAGGGATGTGGGAAGGAAACAACAGAAAATTTGGAAGCTATGATTTTTTTTTTTACTAGGGGACCTTTATCAGTGTGGAAGACTTTCAGAGCAATTACGTTCCATATTAAGACCACAAACCCCTGCAGGCCACATTGCTGACAGCAGAAGTTACTGTTTCTCTAAATGAAAAGCAAATCAGTAAAAAGGCTTAATTCTCTTGGCAAATCCACCTGTGAACACTTGTACTAGGATGGCAAGTGGTAACTTGTATTTTCTTCTGGGGTTTTTTTGCATCAGATGTTAGATGTACCATGTCTGATGTCCACTGTTGATTGTTTTTAAAATCTAGCTACTCAGCAGTGGAAACAGATACCTCATACGGACGGATGATATGGTTGAGACCGTTTACAATGACAAAGGAGAAATTATCAAAACGAAAGAACGGCGACTTTTCATGTTAAATGATGTGCTAATGTGTGCAACTGTAAATATTCGGTAAGACTTGATTAATATTTTTTAAATGATCATTCAGGCTTCAGCTGGAATAAATGATGCATACTGAAATTTTTTTTTAATTGTTGTTTTTACCAGGCTAATGATTTCTAGCAGTAGTCATAATACATGGATAACTAGCTTTCTTACAGTCCTCTAAATTCCCTGCTGATGTTTGGAAGTTCTAGAGTAAATTTGTGAGAAAATTATGTCAGTTGAAGATTACAGATAGAAATGCTCTTTAGTGTCTAGTTATTACTGTGTATTAGTCTTCAGCGGAGTGCAGGCATGTCAAGGTAGGATTTTTTAGGATTTTTTTTCTCCTATTCTTCCTTAAATTCATACTGTCACACACAAATCTGTAACTTGACACGAATTGCAAATTTATTTTTAAAAAACCACAAAGCTAATGCATGTAATCAGAAAAAACCTGGAACACGCTGCCAAAGTTCCAGCTGGGGAAGGGTTTTTATCTCTGAGACCAAACATTGAAGGATTAAAGTGGAGGTGCTTTGAAGAAAGCATTTTTTTCATAGTGCCTTTTGTGTTTTAGTTGGCTGTAATTATTACTGTTACTATTCCTCTGTGTATGCCAAGGTCACACTCACGTTCAAATGTTGCTTGTATCATAAATTGCTTTATATGATGGCACATTCTGACAGAGAAAATATAGACCATTAAAATATTCCAAGAACACCTTTTCTTAAGTATAATGAGTTGATATCTTAGTTTATTACTGAACTATGAATACAGTGCATATTTTTGTAATCATATGAATGGTTGGTCTCATGTTAGTGAGTGAGAAGTGCCACTATAATAATAATCAGAATAATAATAACTATATTTCAGAACATGAACAAGCTTATGTCAATTATTGTGTGATTATTTTCCTTTTTAAATTCTCCAGTTCTTTACTAACACCTGGATATTTTCTCATAGTTGTTTGCAAGAAAAATTGCCTTTAACCATTTATATTTTATCTTCTTCTATGCCATCGTTGTCTTTGATTTTTGATGTTTGTCCCTGAAGTGGCAATGTGCAGTCTGTTTTCATTTTTGCATGTGAAAAGTTCATGATTATGCCAAGCCTCTGGGTTCCTTATTAAGTCAACAGTTCTGGTTATCACAGCACTGTTGTTCCCATGGGCATTAACTGGTTTTGAGCAACCTCCTTTGGGATGGTAATTGGGCATGCATGTGTCATGGGTGGTTTGCTGACTCTGAAAAAGTTTAATTAAGGTTTTCTCTAGCAGTTAAGGTTTGCTTTCCAACCCACTTATTTATATAACAATGAGTTGTTAGAATAGTTAAATAGACTTTTAGCTTTATTCACTAGCAAAAAAAGGGTTTGTAACTTCCTCAGGGTGTTCAGTTGTGGGTGGGTGCCCCTGCAAGCTGTGTGTGCGGATTTAGGATTCCTCCATGATTTCATGCACCACTTCTAGATTTTTTTTTTTTTAATACAGAAGGAATTACCTTTGTCATGCAAAATGTAGTTAGGGAGTGAAGGAAATAATCTGCCAGATTTCATATGTGACACCTGTATCCAGTCCAGAAGTTTTTGTTCAAAATAAGCATATGCTATAGAATGTACCTCTTGTCTGCTCAGCTCATGCAGGATGAGCTTTATTTTCTCTCTGTTTTATCTGTTTAGAAGTTAGGCATCTTACCTAAGCTAGGCGTCTGTTATAGCAGTGGTTTTCAAGGTGCATGCCTGCAGATTTGCCCCGGAGCTCTAGACTTCAAAGCTTTGCATGAACATGTAACTGCACATTATGTATCAGCTCACTTTTCTTAACCACCTTTTGTCCAGCCTTTGCAGAAACAGTCAGACACCCCAGGAGCCTTGTGACCATTGGTTCCAGACCAGTTTTCTATAGCTGGCAAAGGACATATGTTTTCTACAGAGTACATGACCCTCAGAAGGTGCTTCTTCACATGCAGTCTAGATGACTGGCTTGAACTCAGAGACCTAACTTTTAAGTAGCAGGAGTTGGACAGAGTGGATGCTATCCCTAGTGACTGAACAGCTGGGTCCTGCCTAGTCTTGTTTTCTTTCTTCTGAACTACATCAAGAGTTTATAAATATTTACTTAAGCTGTGGCACTTGTGGTTTTTGTTCATACTTGCCTCTTCATTGAAGCTAAAGTATGGCTGTGTTGTGAATAGGTAGCTGACTAGCTGAACATCAGTGTTTAGGTACCGTTTTCAAGAAAGACACTTTGCTGATTCCTCCAAAACTTTTCTGTTTCAGTTATGCTTTCTGTGAAGTAAACCTATTTGGTCACTTCAACATCTCTTTTGTCTTCTATAATAAATGTTTGTTATATATGCTTGAATGTGAATAAGGGAATGAAGAAAACATAGAAAAAGGAGTATTAATGCTGTTACTATTCCAAGTGAGCTTCCTCAGTGTGCTCTTTCCTCTGAGATGACTGTTGTGATACACATTTCCTTTACCAGCAGCACCTCATGTGAGATTGCTCTCAGAAGCCACAACAGTTGCAAAGGTCTGCTGTAAAGAACATCCTGGGCTGTAGGGCTGAGCAGAAATGTTAGCTTGTCAACCCTTGTTGCCCTTCCTGCTGCCAGTAGTCAGTCAGAGGTCCCATCATCCATACTTCCCTAAATACAGCAGTTGCTTCTTTTATGCACAGTTTCAAGTCCTGTTCTGAAAAACAGCACAATCCAGAAAAACTGGGAAAAGATGGAGCCACGATATCATCCTAAGCAGTTGTATTAGGATGTCAAAATGCACGCTGATCTTAAAAAGATGGTAATTTATGGTTTTCTATAGAAATGTAAGGACTGTTGTTGGCAGTCCTGTGCTGTTTGTAAACAAGACTGTTGGCACCTGCATAGCTGCTCTTTGCACTCACAGGAAAGGTCAGTCACAGAAGTCAGCCTGATGCATGGATTTGTTTCAAGTTGTGCACGGTGCTCAGACTGATAAACAGCAGATTTTAGAAGCTAAAATAATAAATGAGATTACATGAAACGTGGTTGCTTGTCACAGCAATAATTTGTGCATCTTCCAGCTCTTCCTATGAAAGCAGTGGCACCGTGACAACTGGCCAGAGGTATTTATTGAAGTGGAGCGTACCGCTGGGACAAGTGGAAGTCATAGAGTATGGCAGCAGTGAGGGCCAAGGGGAGAACTGCAGGTTTCCACCCCAGCACTCTGCTGAAAATGTCGTCATTAACTCTAAGCCAAGTAAGTGACGGGAGTTACTGACTTCTACAAACTGTCTTGTTAAAGTCCGTATTTGAATTTCAATGGCTACTAAAAACAAAATAAAGCATTTTGTGCATGAAGACCTCTGTAACATGAAGAGTAATATAACCTCTTTGGAAACGGAGAATCCATAAAGTGATGGCCAGTCTCCTGCTTTGCAAGATGAATTACTTGTGTCTGTCCTGGTTTAGAGTTTTATGCAGGAATGTATAAAGAGTTTTAAAGCATGAATGTGTGTGGGCATGCAAAAAGGTTGTTTTGGTGTGGTGTGCCAGCTGTCCCTTGGTAGCTGGTTGTGCATATGTTCTTTGTCCCATAATTAAAGCAAGGGAATTTCTCTCAATGAAAATGATCAGCCACCCCATTGCTGTGGAGTAAGAGTCTGGACACAAGTGGTTATTCTAGGGTAGAAGTAACTTCTCTCAAGCCTATAGTATCCCACCCTTCAGACACAGTAACAAGTGCTTCAGAAAAAAACTTTAATTTTAATTAATATTTTTGAAACAGTATGCCAATAGGTAATTTCCTCCTAACCTTTCTACAAAAATGGCCTCAAACTCTGAAGTTTGCAAGTTCTTTCTGTGCTTGTTAATCCCCCTACAAGCCTACTTGCCAACTACTTGGCAACTACCAACTACCCTCAAGAGATGTATGAATTTCAAGAGTTTATTTGGTAGCTAGCCTTTCATATATAATGAGTTACTTTTATAATCCTATATTTTGCCTAAATATTTTATTTTAAGTGTATTTTTTATATGTAGATTGTGATCTTTATTAATGGACTATAATTTTCATAGGTTTCAGGGCTAGCTCTGAGCATTATTTCACACTACACTTATTTAATATTGCACCCTTGGCCTCATTAATTTTCCCACAGTTGTGCTGTAAGAATGCATAAATGTTACACTTCAGAATGATCTGAGGCGCAGCTGCAGCATTTAATACCCCCCTATATTCTCCAAGATGGTTATTGTCTATGATTTTCTTGCTCCTCCCTTTGTAAATAGCAAGAGAAAATTTTTGTACGTACTTATGTCTCAATTTCAAGGATGACTTCATTGTTGTAACTCCTTTTAAGCATTAATGGGCTACTTAGACAATGAGATAAAAGCTCTTACATTATAATTTACCAGCTGCTGCATGCATGCCCTTGAGAGGAGTGTATATAAGGGAGCATGTTACTTATAACTGAGGGTCCCTCTTGTAGGTGAGTGTGGGAGGAACAGCTTATTGAATATTCCTACTGTAATTTTGTGCAACAGCTTCATAGCTGATTAGACCAAATCCTTGCCTGTCAGCAAGATCAGATGGGGAATTGGAGCATGAGGGGAGAAAGGAAAAACTCTCACCCAAACAGTCCTGTAGAACCTACTTGAACCTCTTGGCTTTGAAGTTTCTCAGCTTCATGATGTTTGGTGACAGTGTCACAAAAAATTGAGTTACTTTGTACATAATTTGTAGTCTCACCTTTCAGGTTAAATGGTACTCAATAGGTAAAGAACTAGTCATTCTCTTGGTAATCTCTGATTGTTGTATTAATTCTCCTAATAAAAACAATCAAAAGATAACAATTAAAAAGGATATGAAGGATAGTGGTTATACAAATGAATAAATCTTCTGTCAGCTTTACTCAAATGTTTCTGTCAAGTGATCCAACTAAACTGAACATAACCAACTGTGAAAGAGGAAGAGTGTAGCCTTGCTTTTGCATGTACTGCTGTGTCTGTGCTAGCTGTTATTCTGAATGCAGACTTGTCTGAATTGGCCTGTGTAGACAAGTTTGAACACACACCTAATTCTCTTAGTTATTCTGTAGAGCTGTCCTCTTGGTTCCAATCGTCTTGGCTGCTAAAAATTACAGAAGCTCAGAAAGTACAAAAATCCTGCTGAGGGAAAGGACTGGTAAGACTTTGTGTAATGACTCACTGTTGCTTGTTTATTTGCACCCACCAAGTTGCTGCATTTTATAGTTGATGATGACACAATCTTTATCATGGCAGTATCCCATTTTTGGTGAGACTGTTGGGTATTTACCACAAGTTACAAAGCAATACTATAAAAAAATTGTCATTCTCTTCCTGAAACTGCATGACTTTGCAGTTGTCATAGTTATGTTTCCCTCTGTTTTCAAAGGACACCAAGGAACTGCTGTGGTGAAATCCCAGTGGCCTCATAGTATGTGGTTTTAATAACATCTAATGATCAAGAACAATTTGGAATACTGCAGGCAAAATCCTGCTTCCATGATGTAAAATCAGACCTTATTTTCAGCTCTCATTTCCAGTTTTTGGGAACTGGAAAGATACAGAATAATGATGATTCTGTGTAAAAGTATTAAGTAGTAAGAGGGTCACCTCTTCCATTTCTGGAGGACTGAGAAATGTTGGTTTTTGTCTGCAGCAGACCAGGTTAAGTACTTGACCCCATAAGGACTCTCACATTACTGCTATGATTAGCAAGGATTCTTGATGGCTTCTGGTTGTGTCCTTGTGAGGTTACTGGTTATTAGTTACATTTCTCTCATCATAGCACTTTTTTCTCTTTTCATCCTTTTTATGAGGAGATAACTATCAGAAGTGTATCTCACTGCGTGTTATTGGCTAAATGCAATTGGTGCTTTCAGCTTTCTACGATACTACAATAAAGGATAGTATAGTTTAAAGATGCAAATTTTGCTTTCAGTGCTACAGACAAATTAATAGCTGAATTTAAGTTCATCTTGTGCAGGCTGTAATATGCAACTGCTGAAAGGTTGAAAGATTTTATGAGTACGTATAAATCAAGAGCATGCGTTAGTACTGTTATAAGGTGGAAATCAAGGGCTCTGTGAACTTGGTTTTCACTTAGCAAAATCTTCAGTTTGCAGTTTTCTACCCAGTTCCACTTTGTCTTTGAATTCTAGAGGAGAACAACACATTGAGGGGTTGTTAAGTTCATGTGTTTTTTGTTTTTTTTTTTAAACCCTTTGTCTTTTGGCAGGAGAAACTGTGTGGCCTGAGGGTGTGCGGGTGAAAGCAGAAAAATTTTCCTTGAGTGTATTCTGCTATGCTGCTCTTGGCCTTGATGTGCTTTTGCCTTGTTCCTGTTGTTCTCCCCTAGCACCAAAGTAGACTGAGTTATTTTAGTTATGAACATGGAGAAGGATTGAAGTCTCAGCTGTTTAGCAGAGTCCTTTAATTTGTACTGTTCTAGTGGATGAGGGAAAAGGTGTGGATGTTGTGTACCTGGACTTCAGTAAAGCCTTTGACACCGTTCCCCACAGCATTCTGCTTGAGAAACTGCCTGTCAGTGGCCTGGGACAGGCATGAGCTCTGCTGGGTTAAAAACTGGCTGGGTGGCTGGGCCCGAAGAGTGGTGGTGAATGGAGTTAAATCCAGCTGGGGGCCAGTCACAAGTGGTGTTCCCCAGGGATCAGTGTTGGGGCCAGTCCTGTTTAACATCTTTATCAACGATCTGGATGGAGGGATCGAATGTACCCTCAGTAAATTCACAGATAACACTAAGCTGGTGGAAATGTTGATCTGCTTGAGAGTAGGAAGGCTCTACAGAGAGACATGGACAGGTTGGATCAATGGGCTGTTACCAGCTGTATGAGGTTCAACAACAAGACCAAATGCTGGATCCTGCACTTGAGTCACAACAACCCCATGCAACGCTACAGGCTTGGGGAAGAGTGGCTGGAGAACTGTCTGGCAGAAAAGGACCTGGGAGTGTTGGCTGACAGTCGGCTGAACATGAGCTAGCAGTGTGCTCAGGTGGCCAAGAAGGCCAATGGCATCCTGGCTTGTATCAGGATGAGTGTGGCCAGCAGGATCAGGGAAATGATCCTTCCCCTGTACTCAGCTTTGGTGAGGCCGCACCTCAAATACTGTGTCCAGTTTTGGGCCCCTCACTACAGGAAGGACATGGAAGCACTGGAGCGTGTCCAGAGAAGGGCAACAAAGCTGGTGAAGGGGCTGGAGAACAAGTCTTATGAGGAATGCTTGAGGGAACTGGGATTGTTTAGTGTAGAGAAGAGGAGGCTGAGGGGAGACCTTATCACTGTCTACAACTACCTGAAAGGAGGTAGTAGCGAGGCAGGTGCGTGTCTTTTCTCCCAGGAAATGGTGATAGAACAAGAGGCAATGGCCTTAAGTTGTGCCAAGGGAGGTACAGATTGGATGTCAGGAAAAATGTCTTCTCTGAAAGGGTTACCAGGCACTGGAATGGGCTGCCTAGGGAGGTGGTTGAGTCACCATCCCTGAAGGTGTTTAAAATAAACAGCCTGTTCAGCTGAACAAACTCAGTGACATTAAATAGTTCACATGTTAAGTAGATACATGTTTCTAGCTGCTGGATTAGGTGCAGAATAAATGAGGTGTTACATATTTGTCTCACCCATTTAGGATGAGGTTCTTCTCTTTGCTTTTTGTATTCTTTATAGTACTTGATGTTCACCTCCTAGAAGCCTCTTTTCTGTGTTGCCAGGGTTCTCACCCACATCTTGACACAGAGTAGTAAACTAGTAGAAACTTAGCTATAAGCAAGTGAGTATGAAAGAGGGAGGTAAACTCCCCACAGTACTATTTCCACATGAGTTGTTATAGATAGTCTGGTGGGAACTCCAGTGTAACCTCTGCCAGCTTGGCCAGTTTACAATCACCTTGCAGACCTGTTTTGAGGTCCCTGCAGTACTTTCATCATTTAAACGCCATCACATGTGTACTTTTACTGCCCGTTTATGTCAATGTTTATCTTCTTGTATCTGGTTCTTCTTTTGCCCTTCATGCCCATGCAGGTGCACCCCAGATGTTCTGTGGAGGACAGAGGCTTCCAGGTCCGTGCTGCCCTTCAGCCTTCCCCTTCAACATCTGTGAGAGGAAAGGGCTGTGGCACCTCTTTTTTTTTCACTTTAAAGTCTCTTTGCTTCCAGGATTTTCCTTCCTTGTGGAACAGAGCCAGGAACTGGAGTTTCTCTGATCCGTACCTGCAGTCAGTAG